ACGTTCCATACTGTACTGTGTACGGTTTCTAGAAGTTTTTTTCGGCTGACAGCTATCTAGGGTCTCGAAAATGGCCGTCCGGCCAAAATCCCGACAAAGAAAGTCATGAGAGGCCAAAATCCCGACAAGAGAAATACCAATAGCCACAGCGACAGCGAAATCCTGATCGCAATCATCCTAAAAGCCAAAATATCGACAGCCAAAATACCGACAGCCAAAACACAGACAGACAAAATCCCGACAAACCAAATACAAATAGCCAAAATACCGACAACTAAAATGCCGACAGCAATAATCCCGAACGCCAAAAATACGGACAGCCAAAATCTCGATAGCAATGATCCGGAAAGCCAAAATCCCGACATCTCGTTGACGCTATTTTGGGTGTCGCTCACGTTTAAACAACTATTTTGCATGTCGGGATTTTGGCTGTCGGCATGGCGTTTTTAAGCAAAATCGCCTTTTACTTAACCTTACTCTACAACGCCCTTTTACAGTAATCTACGGACTTGGCGCGGCAAACGTCACAGCTACCCTTTTCCAGCGAGGCTTCAAGGCCATTTTCCTGCGCGGGGGTATGGTTGTTACTTGAAACAAAGGAATGCAAAGATATTTAGACATTCCCAACTTCCGGAAGCTTTTCCCTAATGGACTGCTGACCGATGGGACCGTGAATAGTATCGATACGGAAGTGCTGACGAAAAGGCATCAATTTTTGAAGGTGCGAGGGCGAGATAGAGAGAGAAAGAGAGGGAGAGAGAGTGAGAGAGCGAGAGAGAGAAAGAGAGAGAGAGAGAGATATCACTATTTTTAGGACACGCGCGGTGGACGCGGACGTCTCCTCTACACTCCACAAGGGAACAGGAGGGCCAAGGTACGGATTCCGTATAGGGCAGTGGCAGAGATTCTTTAGGAAGGGGCAGGCCAGCAGAGATCATTCAGGATTGACCCTGCTATCATCAGGCCATAATCAAATTTCCCCCTATTTTCAGAGCGCCGAATCCGCGCAACGCCAGAAACGCTTCAGCAGCGCCGTCGGCTCCCGCCCACCTTGGAGATACTGATATCTTTCTTGCGTTGCCGCATACCTTTTTTACTCAACTATTTGTGCTTTAATAATGCTAACAATAATGAGGATAAAGAGTTCTATTTTATCGTACCACTATTCGATCCTCTTGAATCCACAAATTCCTGTCGAAATTTTTAGAATCAACCCGAAAAACAGATTCTGAAATGCGGTCCTTAAAAATCGCCGTTTAATCCGGAAATTCCTGTTTCCGGCCAGGATCCACGAACTTCCTGTCTGGCCGGCTGTCACGAGGTTTTTCGGCAAACCAGTTCGGACGGTGTTTTCAATTCACCTAAGGACTGGCTACTTTCACGTTCTTACGTCTCGAAAAAGGTTTAAGATACAGTAACTAGGAACCAGAGACGCAGAGCGTAAGCGAAAACGAAGCCTAAGCCTAAGCCTAAGCCTATGTCTAAGCCTAATCCTAAGCCTTTTGGTTTTTCAATATTTGGTTTTTCCCCCGCTCCAAAAGTAACCACCACTCCCCCGCCTACATTTTTGATGCGGCCCCATCGGGGCCACATCCCAACTTCCACGAGGCCCTGGAATCTGAAAATCGCCGCTTTTCATGAGCTTCACCTCACTTGCTTGCTGCTCAAGTAAAGTCTGTATTTTTTAATGCTTTCCGCCCTCCGTAGCATTTGTACAGCCATTTTATTGGCTTGCCAGCATTATGTGGATTCCGAGAACGACCAAAAACGAATGCACTTAGCCGCCCCAAATCGCGCGTGGGAATATGCAGAGCCTCAAAAAAACCAACGGATGTCTGGCCGTTTTGATGCTCATTGAAAGTGCTGAAGATTTCATGAAGATTTCGCTCTCTCTCTCTCTCTCTCTCTCTCTCTCTCTGTCTCTCTCTCTCTCTCTCTCTCTCTCTGTCTCTCTCTCTCTCTCTCTCTCTCTCTCTCGCTGTCCTCTTTATCCGTGTGAGATGGTCCTTCAACCGTTCATACAAATTTTTCATTCTCCCTTTCTTGCTCAAAAATGCGCCATTTCCGCTTCGACAAACATTGGGTTGAAGCCTCAAAGATCCGCTTGACCCCTTCCCAATTTCCGCCAAAAAAAACTTCAATTTCGGGTGTCGAACCTAGTCGACTCAGTCGTCTCCGCTCTCTCTCTCTCTCTCTCTCTCTCTCACCCGCTCGTTCACTCGCTCCCTGCCTCTCTCTCTCTCTCTCTTTCTATCACTTCCCTCTTCACCCCCTTTAAAGGCGAGAGGAAATAAGAAACTCTCCGCTGCAACCCAAGATCCAGGCGTCAGCGCCAAAATTGCTCCCGGCAACTTCACTCCATTTTTTGACTCTTGACGCCACTGGAATGGCTTTCACTAATTAAAGTTTGGGTTTGTTGGCTTGAATTTTCTACTTGCGCTCCAGGTTTTGGGAAAATTCGCGAAAAACCGGCCGGGGCTTTCTCTCTCTCTCTCTCTCTCTCTCTCTCTCTCTTTCTCTCTCACTATCTCTCTCTCTTTCTAAAAACATCCAAAAATTCAACTTTCAGCAACCAAAAATGAATCGAACGCGAAGCACGATGAGCCGAATGAGCCGGCTATCCCGTCGAGAGGTCAGTTATTACGAAATCTAAAGTGGCTGAAAACGCCAGGAATACAATTTTGGGCAAATCCGCAAAGAATCTTTGCTAGCCTCCCCTAGAGCAATACAGAAATGGTCTGAGCTAGGCCATCAGGAGCCTCGAATAGCAGAAAATTCAAAGAAAGTTTGCTAGTGCCCTGTAAAATTGCCGTTATTGCTTCTGCAGGCCTAGTTTGGTCAGGATCCCTAATCGCCTCTGCTAGCTTGCTATGCTATAAATGTTCAAAAAAATTTGCATTATTTTCGAAAAATTATGTCCACTCACACTCGACCGGCTCAAGGATCTAGCCTGCCCTTTCCTATAGGAATCTCTGCTAGCCTGCCCTTTCCTAAAGAATCTTTGCTAGGCCGCCCTTTCCTAAAGAATCACTGCTAGCCTGCCCTTTCCCAAAGAATCTTTGCTAGGCTGCCCTTTCCTAAAAAATCTCTGCTAGCCTGCCCTTTCCTAAAGAATCTCTGCTAGCCTGCCCTTTCCTAAAGAATATCTGCTAGCCTGCCCTTTCCTAAAGAATCTCTCCTAAAATCTCCTGATTTGGATCCATTTTTGATCTCATCCAAAACATTTCCAGGAATATCGTGAATTTTTGATTCGGCAAGTCACGTATTCCAAAACGCACCTATCGACCCCTCGCCGCCGCTCTCAACTTTTTGCAAGATTTCACTCTCCCCAGCCAGCTCTCCCCGGGGTGTTTGGAGAAAACATAATTAAACTCCAGAAAGAGTGGCTCTCATAAGGGTCTACGTTTTATTATTTGGCCGCAGGGCCCTCGTGGTGGCCCTGCCACTGGGCCCCCTAATGAGTCGGGCACCGGCCGCGAGTTTTGCGCCAGTCATCCCATTTTTCGGGCAAATAACATTTTTCTGGATCTCATCTGTTTTTTTTTAGTTTTATGGATGAATTTTGGCTAACCGTTGCCTTAGTGAGGGCCATAATGCTGACAGAGAAAATGTCGGGATAAAGCCGATAGGTCCCTTCCTTTCTGGCAACCAATCAAAATGCCGACAAAACGAAGACTTAAGAAAACGTTACCGGTATTCTAATTGTCGGCATTTTGGCGACCGACATTTTGGCTTGCCGGCCCCTTTAGGCCGCCCGACCAAAGTTTCAGCATGCATCCAATAGCGTGGGAACAAAGAGAACTACGACCTTTTTCGCAAGAGAAAGAGAGAGAGAAAGAGAGAGAGAGAAAGAGCGAGAAGGAGAGAGAGAGAGACGAAATTACACCCCACAATTCATGCATACATGATGAGGGCCACCGGGTGGCTTCCGCATTTTTTGTTGGCTCCCAAGTTACGCCATAGCCCAGTCGACTTCCAAAACTAAAAGTTCTCTCTTTCTCGCTCTCTCTCTCTCTCTCTCTCTCTCTCTCTTTCTTTCTCTCTCGCTCTCTTTCTCTCACCCTCTTTCTCTTTCTCTAGTTTTTTTTTTGTTAAATCGCGATAACTTTTGCTTTGCGGGCTTTATCTTACTGTCTCTTGCTCGCTCGCTCTCTCTCACTCTCGCTCTCACCCGCTCACTCTCGGTCACTCTCTCGCGCGCTCTCTCTCTCTATCTCTCGCTCTTCGTCGATCACCATTTCTTACAAAATTCAATTCCATTTCGCCATATTTTCTTCTAATAGCCACTCGTCAGTGCCATCAACCACCCACCTACTAATCCCCCGGGGTGAAACGACTTTCCCTTCCACGACGGGGCTCTAATTGACTTGAAGCCGTTGAGGAGTAGCAGAAGCCAAGACAAGACAGACGAAATGTCGGGCTGGCGTCACAGTGTACGTTCATTTACTCACACCTCGTGGTGGCGTGCCTAGACACTCTTCACAGTCCCTTTAAAATTTCGTAATTTCCGGCCCCGGGCTGGGTAGTGGCTATTAGTGCGCCAGGATGTCGGATCGAAGCAAGGTATAGCTTCAGAAAGGGCTTGCAACGCGTAATCAGTCACGCGCGGGTTTGGTGCATCTTAGCAAAGCTAAGTCTAAGGTTGGCGTATTCTTAAGCAAAGCCTAAGCCTAAAACCAAGCCTAACCTTAGCCCGAGCCTAAACCTAAGCCTAAACTAAAACCTAAACCTCAGCATAAGCCTAAGCCTAAACCTGATCCAAAGCGAAGCCAAAGCCTAAGCCTAAACCCAATCCTAAGCCTAAGCCCAAGCCAGGCCGTAGCCAAGCCCGATTCCAGATCGGCACCTTCGACGCGATGGACAAGGTTACCTCGAAATTCGGGGAATACGTCATAGCCCAGGTGAGCTGCTTCGATGGCGAATTTGGCTAGGTCTAGTCGAATTTCAGCGCATAATCGATTAAGCCCAAAAAAATTATGACAGCAAAATAAGCACAAATTTAGAGTCCAAAGCACGGACAGGCGGCCGAATTTGTCAAAATGTTGCAACAATATGAGGTGATCGAAGCTGTCTCTCTCTCTCTCTTTCTCTCTCACGCCATCCTTCCAGATTTCCATCGTCGTCCAACTGACGCCCCAAAAAGACGGCTCCTACGGCTGGTTCGACTCGAAGGTCGGGGGGAAGAAAAAGGTTCGTCGAAAACTCCTAATCTTTCATTCCAATTTAGCTCCGAGGCCGGTACGTCGTCGTAACGGTCTCCTTGAGCGAGCAGCCGACCTCGTCCCACTACGAGCTACACCTATCCACCATTCTGCCAGAGGAGAAGACGATTGAGAGGACTGTTTATGCCGTGCACTACCATCGATGGCAGGTGGGTGATGTTGCAGAATTGGTCTCACCTAGTTAGCCTTTTCCTAAATAATCTCTGCTAGCCTGCCCTTCCTAAAGAATCTCTGCTAGCCTGCGTCTTTCCAGGAATACTCAGAAGAGAACTCACGATGCACCGGCCAAATTCTGAAGGAAATTTTCACGATTCTGCTGCGGAGCAAGATCAAGGGGTACGTCAGAATACTTTGGTTCTGATTCAGAATTTCGGAATTTACAGGAACACCCCAGTTTTGGTGCACGGCGGAGGGGCTCGAACGTGTGCGTCTTTCGTGTTGATGTCGATGGTTTGTCGACAGGTCGGTGTGGCTACAAAAGGAATGTAACACGTACTACAGACTAAAAATTGTAGGCTACAAAATACGAACTACAAAGCTATGCTCCAAAATTGAATAAGGGGACTACAAGCTACAGTTAACGCCTCCAAACTACAAAATCCAAACTCTAAGACTTCCCTAAATACTCGATGATAGCTACATTCTACAACCTCTAAACTCCAAGCTACAGACTACAAGTCCGTCTTTCAGCTCCGCCAAAACGGCGCGAACACGCTGACCGCGTGCATCGACCTGGTGAGGAAGTACAAGAACGTCGTCACCAAGAATAATGTAAGGATTTGTTCGTGTTTAGGCAAGGCAGGGAGGTGATCATTGGGGATTTTAGACGCCGAGTTAATGCCCGTTTTTCAGGACCAATTTGCTGCCGTCTTGCAGGGGATTCTTCAATTCGCCGTTGACGATGATATCGTACAAAAAAACAGCAAAAGCTATCAGCAGGCATGCAAGGTGGGGGTTTTAAAGGCGTTGGAAAGGGAATATTTTAGTGTATTTTGTCACAAGCGCCTTTAAGGTACGCCGTGACGCGTTCTAACTGTCTTTGTCCCTTTAGCACGCTAAAACTTCCATTAAAGGGCCATGAACGCTTTTTTCAGCTCGTCCATGAATGCACCACCACTCGGCCCACCTACCCCATTGATAAAAGTGACGCGTCAATTGTATTTTTGTAAAATTTGCATAAATCGTTTTTCTCGTTTTTTTTTTGCGCCCTCAAGGAAGCTTCGCAAGCTTGCCGTTTCCTAAAAAATCTCTGCTAGCCTGCCCTTTCCTGAAAAATATCTGCTAGCTTTTGATTTTTAACAATATTTATTCCATGAAAAACCGGGAAAGCTTACAACAGCTATAAAATAGCGGGGTATCACATTTTTTTCAACTTCAGGATAGGTGGGCCTATCTCAGAAGATAATAAAATAGTAAATAATAAAGATTGAATAAAAATACTGTAGCATCCGGGCGGGTGTGACTAGAATCTGGTGGTGCAATGCTTCAGATTTTTCGATTAAAGGGATACCGAGATATGCGTTTTTGAAGTTCGAAGCCTAAGTCCTAAGCTAAGCCAAGGCCCAAGTCTTAGCCCAAGCTTAAGCCAAGCCAAGCGTAGCCTAAGCCAAGCCCAAGCCTAAACCTAAGCCTCAATCTCAGTCCCGATGAGCGTTACTCTCGACATCTCTTTAAAATTAAAACCAATCAATTTGAAAAAATCCGTTAGAATTTTGATATGAGCCGCTTACTCGTAGGGGGGAAAATCCGGGAAAGCAAAAAATCCAGCTGGGTAATTGTTTCAGAATTAAATTAAAATTAATCACAACATTTGTCGAAAGCTATAACCGGAATTTGTATATTTAAATATCTAAGCTCCAAAAAGCAATTAGTGCAACGAGGAGCGCTGAAAATCGGGTTACGGTAGTGGCGCCGGTGGTGCCTTCTTGTGCGCTCATCTCGCCTGAAAATCAAATGCGTTGGATTGAATGGCTTTTCCTGAAGCCCCGGCCCAAGCTTCATAAAAGCTCAATCTTAAAGAGATGAGGACGGCATCTGTTGAACCCCCCTTGTGGAGCGGGGGTCAACAGATGCGGCGGCGAGAGAGGGCGTCCAGTGAGAGGCGCAGAGACATTTTCTTTCCCGCGCGTAATCGATTGACTTATGCCGCCCCTATCCCTTTAAGCCTAGGTCTAAGCCTAAGCCCAAGCCTAATCCTAACTTAAGCAAGCCCAAGCCTAAGCTTAACCTAAGCCTAAACTTAAGCCCAATAAACCTAAGCCTAAGCCTAAGCCTAAGCTTAAGCCTAATCTTAAGTTTAAGCCTAATCCTAAGTTTAAGCCTAATAAGCCTAAGCCTAAGCCTAAGCCGAAGCCGAAGCCTATGCATACGCCAGATCAAAGCAAATCTCCCTCTCTCTACCTACCTTTCTCCTCGCTAAGCTCATCATCCACATCTGAAGCTCGGGTGATCTGCTCTGGCACATTTTCCGTACCTTCCAAATTCTGGGGACTGACCGCAGGTTTTTCTAAATTTTCTTTTGTAAAAACATCAGGCAAGCTAGCAGAGATCTTTCGGAATCGCGCCAAACTCGTTTTACAGCTGGATGGCCATACCTTGTAGACCTTGGGTCTCCTCCGTCCCTTCAGAATCCTCTAGAATTGGAGCGGGCGAGGTGAGTCTGGTGGCGCTGGGCTTCTAAAATACACTCGTTTTCATGAGGCTACGGTAGTGGGAGTTGATACATAAAACAACACCAAAAACAGTGCGAGTTTAGTAAGTGTGGGACATGGTTAGTGGGAACGGACGACAAGTGCAGCAGTAGAGTTTTTGTAGTGTTTTTTCTAAGGATAAGAGGCTACAGAGTACAAACTACAGCCAAAGACTACAGACTACAACCATTCCCGTTAGGCCTTTAATGATCAGAAAGTGAAAACCACCTGTTTTCGTTGCTTTTTGAGTACAAACTACAAACTTTCAGGTTACAGAGTACAAACTACAAACTTTCAGGCTACAGAGAATAAACTACAGCATACCAACCACACACAACAACTTCCCAAGTCAGACCTCCACGAGTACAAGGTCAAAACCACCTGTTTTCGAAGCATTTGTAGCGCAAACTACACATCGCACAGGCTATAGAGCACAAACTACAGGCAACGGGCTACGGACTACAGACTACAAACTCCATAACTGCCCAATCAAAATACAGCGACATGCCGAATTCCCCAACAAACCCTGCTCGTTGCCGTGGTCCTCGGCGGCGGCTTCAAATCCAGCGGCTTCTCCGCTTCCGCTTGTGAATTTTTCACATATTCTTCCGTGTCATTCATCGATTGTAGCCTGGTGTCAGCCGTAGTATCTTCTTGAGTTGTCGAATTCCTCACGTGCTTCAGAATCTCGATCGTCGCCTCGGCCGTGTGATTCGACGTCTTGATGTAGGCATTTACGGTGATTTCAATCGGTTTCTTCTCTTTTTCAACGGCTTCTTGGGCTTCTCCAGATTTTACAGTATCCCCCAGCTCTTGTGCCACCGTATAGGCGTTAACTTTTAGTGGGGATACGGTAGATGAGCCGATGAAATCCCTGAGTGGTCCCGAAGCCGTCACGGAGACTTTTAAAGGGATGGTGACACCTTGGAAATCACCCGGAATCGTCAAGCCTTCATTCTCAACGGTATTTGTAATGACGGCGCGTATCGTACTCACTTCAGGGCCATTATTTGGTGACCCAGATACCGTAATCCTAGCGCTTTCTTCCGAGGTTTCCGCCGATAAACCACTTCCGGGCTCGATTTTTAATTCCTCCGATTCTCTCACCTTTTCTACCGTACTGAGGATTGCACGTAGCGTCGAGACTTCGGCTACCGCATCCTGGCCCTGATTCAGGGAAGCATCCGGATTTAGGGCAACTTTTAGGAGTTCCTCCGTTTCCTTCGCTAGCTGGACCTCGGTTTCCGATTCCGGAGCGTCGCGGATCGTCTCGGAATTTAGATCTGACGCTTCTGGTGTGACTGTAGTTTCCGGTTGGTTTTCAGCGGCTACGGTCGTTTCCGGAATTCCGTGATTTCCGATATGCGCAGCCGCAGAATCGGATTTTTCCGAATCCGTAGCTTCAGAATTTTCCGTCGATTTTGCCGATTCTAAACTCTGGACGTGGCCGTCAGATACCGTAAGCCCAGAGTGATTTTCTTGGCTTTTCCCGCCGGATTTTTCTACAGTACCTGCGGCTACAGTACCCTCAGAATTCGCCGGGCTCAACATAGCCTTTAACGTTGTTGTCATCGGCGTATTGTCGCGAACTTCTCCCATATTTAGCCTTGCCGATACGGCTTCAATGCTTAGAACTTCCAGCTTCGGGTCTGCGGTCACCAATTTGACCTCATTTTCTGCCGAGCTTTCGGTTACTGTAACCCCAGCTGCGTTGCTAGGATCATCGCGGAATTTTTGGGATTCAGCATCTGCCGTATCCCCGTTGTTAGTATTGTCTTGTACCCCGCTGTCCAGACCGTCAATAGGAACCTCCTGGAATGGGAAATCGAAATACCACGGGCCACTGGGGGTTTAGGGGTTACGGTATTTGAAGAATTTTGAGGATTTTTAGCTAATTTTTGATTTTTCGAAAGCCGAAATTTACAACAAAAGGATTTTCAAAATTCTCCAAGGCGGTAGGGTCCCGAAAAAAAGCAAAAAATCAAAAATGACAAGTTCAAAAATACCTGAATCTCGGCGAGCTCGGTAATGTTGTTGCCGCCTTCTGGAGGGATTGTGCGAAGGAGTGGAGCGCTAAAAATGGGATTGGAATGGCTAAAAATGGGAGGTCGCAAAATTCCGCAAAGAATTTCCGCTAACTTGCCCTTTTCTAATGAATCTCTGCGAGCCCGACCTTTCTTAAAGAACCTCTGCGAGTCTCCAATTTCCTAAGGAATTTCCTCTGCTACCATCCTTTTCCTAAAGAATCTCTGCTAGCCTGCCCTTTCCTAAAGAATCTCTGCTAGCCTGCGCTTTCCTAAAGAATCTCTGCTAGCCTGCCCTTTCCTAAAGTCTCTCTGCTAGCTTGCCATGTCTTGAAACCCCACCTTGTCGAAGTATTAATCTTGGACTCTGCGTCTTTCACAAACATCGATGATTGGACCTCAACGATTTTTTCTAAAAAAAGCAATTTTTGAAGGACTCCAGAAAAATTCAAAAACCTGTCGTAGTTTCCGCCTTCTTTGGAGCTACTGTACTACCATTCGAAGAGGCTTCTAAATCCAAATTTTAGACGGAAACTTAGAAAAACCGGATTGCAGCTGTGGAATGGTTTCAAATTTGGCGAAAACCGGCTCGTCAACGAATTCGAAGGTGGCCAGCGGGGTTTGAGGGTGATTACAGTGATCACGACCGTCACAACCGCAGATTGTTCTGAAAGATCGGTTGTGAGAGAGAAAGAGATAGCGGTAGAGAGTACGAGAGAGAGAGAGAGAGAGAGAAAGATAGAGAGAGAAAGAGAGAGCGAGATTGGGGGAAAGATATACACGAGAAAGAGAGTGCGAGAGAGGGGACGAGAGAGAGAACGAAAGGAAGAGAGAGAGAGAAAGAGAGAGAGAGAGAGAGAAAGGGCGAGTGAGAGAGCAAGTGAGAAAGAGAAAAACCTCTTGCCTGGTTTCTTCTCTGTGACAAACATTCTTCCCCAAAAACCGATCACCCTCCCTCAGCTTCAGGCACCCAGCGATGATGGTTCCGTTGAAGTACTTGTTGACGACTAAAAAACATCGTTCTAGATTTCCAAACTTTTAAGGTCGTTTATAGGCTCCGCTCAGACCGTCCGTATCTCGCCGCCCCTTTAAAACCCACCAATATAGCACACATCTCCGTGACATTCGTCTTGACAATCATTTAAATGAGGTGGTTCTGGGGAGTACGGGCATTGAGTACAAATGACAGCGTCGATAGGTGTCGCGCGTAACGCTAGGGCCAGCAATAATGGCAGCAAGTGCCATAAATATCTCCCTGGCGGCTCCCAGCCCATCTAAATTTTGATGGTAGAAAATCGCCAATATTGTCAAAGATAAAAAATACAATTAAAACCATAAAAACGAAAGCTAAAGGTCCTAAAAATAAAAAATAAAATTAGGAATTCAAGATAGAGCAGTACTACAGTAACCTTAAGTGATTCAGATAAATAACGAAACCCGAAAAAATTGGGAGGGCAAAAAACTCGGGAAACGCCTAATTATCGGCGCCCACGGCCCGGCGGGTTTTAGCGCCAAATTAATTCCCACGGCAACAAAGAAAGCTGAACAAAACTAGAATAACCAGGTAAACCTCAAAAATGACAAATCGGGAGGTTAGCAGAGAAAATTTGGGAAGGGGGTTAACGCCCCGGAAGATGTTTCGGACTCTTCAATGGACCTCTAAAATGATCGACCTTGGCGCTCACTCTCTCCCTCCCTCCCTCTCACTCTCTCCTCTCTCTCTCTCTCTCTCTCTCCCTCTCTCGCTCTCTCTCTCTGTACGATAACAAGCGCCAAAACAAGGGCCTGCTAGCAGAAACCCTTGCGGAAAAATAAGTGTTGCTCGCCGGAAAGTGGGTAATTTGGGGTGAATGGGGTTGGTCGAGACATATGCCCCGATCCGGGCCAGCTGGGTGGGGTCGGGGTAGAAAAAGTAGTACTGTAAAGAGCGGCAGGGAAGGTGAGAGAGACAGAGAGACAGAGAGAGGGAACCATTCGCAGTTCTATAATGGACGGCCCCGGAAGTGGGCCAAAACCAAGCCCGAACTTACTTGGACTTTCCCATCCCCCCAAAGGTTTTTGGCGACTTCAATGTGAGTATTAGAGCGACGAAAACATAGATAAAAATATCACTTATCCCTAAGCCTAAGCCTAACCTAAGCTTAAGCCTAGCCTGAGCTTAACCGAAGCCCAAGCCCCCAAATTCATTGTTTACTTGAACTTGAAATGCGCGTTTGAATGGCCATTTAGCCGAACAGAGTCTTGAGGAGACTGGTATGCTTTTGAGCTCTTTTCAAAGTTTACAAGATCGAAAACCGCATTTTTAGAGAGGTTTAAAGGTGCTCAGAAGACAAAGACTAAAATCGCCTTCTTCCCAAGGCAGAAAATCGGTAATTATTTCATTAAAGAGGCCAGGAAGTCAGAGTCGTGCTTCTTTCCAATATGACGTTTTCAGAATTTTAGCATGACAAATTCCATAATAAAAAGTCCAAGCTACCGTACTAGCCTTCAAAACCATTACGAAGCGCTCATTAACAAGCCGAAAGTTTGGCATTTGCAATGTGGCCCACCGGGGGCCAATTTTCACCTGTCTTCGGAGGTGATTCTGCCGGGCGAGGGAGAGAGAGAAAGAGAAAGAGAGTGAGAGAGAGTGAGAGGCGGCCAGAGAAGCAGACAGAAAAAACAGGTGCGCACAATTTCGCCAGAGGCGCCATAGAAACCGACCGGAGCCACAATTGGACCCGCCGGGGCAAGGCGGAAACCCTAAAGTTTGTGTGGGGTGGACAATGGAAAAACAGAAACCAGAACCGATGAAATTTGGGGTTTAAAGGGGTTGAGAAACGCCAAAATCGACCTCTTCCCCTCGGCTAGGTCTAGACAGCTTCGCTACACGCCTAATTACGCGTTTTACTATTGTTTCGCTGCAAATCCGGGATTTCATAGCGACCTTAAAAGGCAAATAAAACAAGATAATCGACCCCCCCCCAGCCAGCTGGGTCTCGACAGCCACGCGACCCGCCAGATTGTACAGGCTTTTTGAAGCATTTAAAAGGCTTCCTGCGCAAAAAGGAAGTTTTTTTGCAAGCTATTTGTATTTTTTCGAATTTTTTTCTTGCTTAATAAGAAAGAATGTATCAACTATAATAAAAAAGTAGAGGCGTCCGTCTGTCTGTCCGTCTGTCCGTCGTGTCCCGGATTCAACTCGAAGGGGAAAGGAGCTAGAGCTTAGGTCTCTTCGGATTCGGATAGAGCGTGGTCAGAAACCCCCAAACTGATCAAAAAATTATCAAAAAGTTTTAGTTTAAATTATTAAAATTAACTTTGAAAGTGGCGCCTTAATAAAACGGGTGGGGGCCCCTTTCCCGGCAGGCCACGCCCCCCATTCCCTTCGCCCCTCTTCCCCAGGCCCTTTCCCACGTCCAAATAACTTTTTAAGTTACTTTAATACTTTTAATACTTTTTAATTATGTTAATTTATTATTTAAATCATTTAAAGTATCGGGATGGAATCTAAGTAGTTTTTGAAGGGGATTTCGGCTATGGGGGGTATCTGAAGCCACCAGGAAGGTATTTAGGTAGTCTTTGAAGGAGATTTCGGCTATGGGGGTATCTGAAGCC